CCATACCATTTCTGTCCTTTATTGTGCCCATCTTTGCATGAAATGTTCCCTTGGTATCTCTAATTTTCTTGAAGAAATCTCTAGTCTTTCCCATTCTGTTGTTTTCCTCTATTTCTTAACACTGACCGCTGAGGAAGGCTTTCTTATCTCTCCTTGCTATTCTTTGGAACTCTGCATTCATATGGGAATATCTTTCCTTTTCTCCTTTGCTTTTCGCTTCTCTTCTTCTCACAGCTATTTGTAAGGCCACCTCAGAGAACCATTTGCCTTTTTGCATTTCTTTTCCATGGGGATGGTCTTGATCCCTGTCTCCTGTACAGTGTCACGAACCTCTGTCCATAGTTCATCAGGCACTCTATCAGATCTAGTCCCATAAATCTATTTCTCACTTCCACTGTATGGTCATAAGGGATTTGATTTAGGTCATACCTGAGTGGTCCAGTGGTTTTCCCTACTTTCTTCAATTTAAGTCTGAATTTGGCAATAAGGAGTTCATGATCTGAGCACTATTAGGGGCCTGCTACTGGGCCGGGAATTCTGGGTAGGCTAGCTATCTTTCAATATTACTGTATCACCCCCGATTTCTGAATCCAGTTCAGGAGCATCCGTTGTCTTGACTTGTCACTTTCTTTTCTTTTCGAAAGAGAATCTTAAGTATACTGGGCCATGAAGCTCTCCTGAGTCAAAGTGTGTTCTCCGTGCCTTCTTGACTTGCAGGCTGAGAAACTCAGCAAAGTTTTCGACCTCTTTCTGCTTATAACATCTTTTTAAATGACATCCCCTTCCATAAAGTTGGTATGCCAGCCTGAAAATCTGCTGACATGTGGCAGGCCTGAGGGCATCACTGTGGATGGCTGCCTGTGGCCTCTTAGGATGGATTGACCTAATGATTTTAAGTGTCTAATTCATAGCCTTAAATGCTCAGAAACTGTATTAAAAAAATATTCCAAGATGAACATGCTTTAGTATCATGCATTGTCACAAAGTTCAGGTGAGGCTGATTAATAAGATATCCTTCTTGTTTATGTGTTTATAAGCTAAACAGTCATGTTTAGTTGTTGGCGTGCCTTCATCCTCTGTCCAAAGCAGAAGAGTAGGATTAGTAGTAATTAGTTACTAAAAATAATTAGGATAAGGGATAATTTGTTCAGACATGTTCAGACCTAAAGCAGAGGTCACACACCTCTAAGTAATTGAAATCTCTGAATCACGTTATTTCCTCCATACTCTATATCTTTGTTGGACACATTATTGCTTACGCTGACCCTGACTGAGATATGTTGGTATTCCTAATCAACAACAGGACCTGTTTTAAAGGGCCTGAAAGAGGCATAGATGGGAAAACAGTGGAAACAGTGATAGACTTTATTTTGGGGGGCTCCAGAATCACTGCAGATGATGACTGCTGCCATGAAATTAAAAGATGCTTGCTCCTTGGAATAAAAGTTATGACTAACCTAGACAGCATATTAAAAAGCAGAGACATTACTTTGCCAACAAAGGTCCATCTAGTCAAGGCTATGGTTTTTCCCGTAGTTGTGTATGGATGTGAGAGCTGGACTGTAAAAAAAGCTGAGCGCCAAAGAATTGATGCTTTTGAACTGTGGTGTTGGAGAAGACTCTTGAGAGTCCCTTGGACTGCAAGGAGATCCAACCAGTCCATCCTAAAGGAGATCAATGCTGAATATTCATTGGAAGGACTGATGCTGAAGCTGAAACTCCAATATTTTGGCCACCTGATACGAAGAACTGACTCATTTGAAAAGACTGATTCTGGGAAAGATTGAAGATGGGAGAAGGGGATGACAGAGGATGAGATGGTTGAATGGCATCACCGACTCAATGGACATGAGTTTGGGTAAACTCCCAGGGTTGGTGATGGGCAGGGAGGCCTGGTGTGCTGCAGTCCATGTGGTCGCAAAGAGTTGGACACGACTGAGCGACTGAACTGAACTGAAAAGAGCCATTCTTTCTCCTCCATTTACATGTTGATGAATTTAGGTTAACTCTGAGAGGGAATCTTCTTTGTGATTCTAACTTCTTAGCATCCTTTTCAGGGCCACACACTTGCTTATTAAATATTCTATGCACTTTTTTTTGGTAATCAGACTGCAGATTTGGTGTCCCAGTTAGGATATGTGTATTAGCAAGTTAGCAGAAAATCCAACTAAGCCTGACTGAAACAATAAGATCCACCCATAGGATGAGCTTTTGGAGTTGGTGTAATTCAAAGAGTCACGAGATTTTCAGGGTCCTACTTTCCATGGGGTTGAGTTCATTCAGTTCAGCTCAGTCACTCAGTTGTGTCCGACTCTGTGACCACATGGACTGTAGCACACCAGGTTTCCCTGTCCACCACCAACTTCTGGAGCTTGTTCAAACTCACGTCCATTGAATTGGTGATGCCATCCAACCATCTTGTCCTCTGTCCTGACTGGATTTTCTCCTGGTGACAGAATGGCTGCAGTAGTTCTAGGCTTTACATCCATGCACCTCTCTCCCAAAGACCACCAGCGAATCTGCTCTCATTTTACTGGCCTGAATTGAGGCTCCATTCTTGAGCCAACCCCTGAGTTCAGGGGAATGCAGTGTGGTGACAGGCTTAGACCAAGACTATCAGACTAATTAGGAATTAGTGACAAGAGGAATAGGATTACCCAGAGGGAAACTGGCCACTCAGGAGCTCTGCATAGTATCAGCTTACCTTGAAGCACTTGGGTTCCATGGGAGAGCAAGGGGATTGGATGGATACCTGGGTGGAAATTTAAGGTACTCTAAGGCTTCCCTGGTGCCTCAGACGGTAAAGAATCCACCTGCAGTGCGGGAGACCTGGGTTTGATTCCTGGATTGGGAAGATTCCCTGGAGAAGGGAATGGCTACCGACTGCAGTATTCTGGCCTAGACAATTCCATGTACTGTGTAGTCCATAGGGTCGCAAAGAGTTGGACATGACTGAACTGGCTGGTGACAAAGGAAGAGGGGAAGGAGGCTGGATGTTGGGTAGGCAACTAACGCAGTATCTCTTTTTCAGGTATATGCAGAGTTTTCTTGAACTTCTAGAATATGAAAATAAGAGCCCTGAAGATCCGCAGGTCTTGGATAAGTAAGTAGGACACCAAACTTACCTGAAAGTAAAAAAAAAAAGTTTTGGTAAATGGGACTCACGTCACTGAGAGCCAAGAAGTACAAGTGGGATGGAAGCATTAGGTTTCTTAATGGGTAACAGCTCACCATTGCAGTTTTTTAATTAATTTATTTTAATTGGAGGATAATTACAATATTGTGATGATTTTTGCCGTATATCAACATGAATCGGCCACAGGTATACATGTGTGTCTCTTCCCCCACCCATCCTGAACCCCCTTCCCACTTCCCTCCCTACCCTGTAAATTCGAGCTAAGAATTTAACTAGTACCAGGAGACCCTTCAAATTACACCTCCTGATCTAATTCTTAATACTTGTGCTTCTTTCTGGTGAACTGGTGCTGGGCACCTACTGTAGATATTGCAGTAAATGTTCCACCTAGTGGTAGTTTTGAGAACGCACTGACCTCTGTGTATACATGAGTTTATGTACTTAGTCCCTATGATTTGTTTTTAAAGTTTCAGTGCAGTATAACATTTGAGCTCAGAGAAAAGATAATGCTTTTATTCTGGAGACGCATAAAAGTATGCTATTAACATAACTCTTCTGAATTCTATTGCTGCTTTTAGGCACAGAGACTGCTAAATTTGCATGCTGATGGAAAATATTTCCAGTTTTTCTTTTTCATTTAACCAGAAAACACCCAGCTCTGAGTGTGTTTTTTTCCCCTGCCAAGAGAAATTGTGTCCTCTTCCCATTATTTTTCTCGTCTTTCATGTACCCATTATTGAATTCATACGGCAGGCCTGTTGGGCTGCGGAATTTCCAGGTAGAAACCTGGCCCACATCATTGTAACACCAAATGCCTTACATGTAGGTGTTCCATAAAAAGAACTAAGAAATATCACATTACATAAGTGACCTTAGCTCAAGGCATTTAACCTAGCTGTCTCAATTCACAGATAAGGAAACTGAGGTCCGAGTTGTGAAGTGACTTCCCCAAGATTGTAACATCAGTTCAGAGCAGAGCTGAGTCTCTAAATCATATTTACTCTTCCTCAGTACAGTTGCTCTTTACAATGCACCATATTGCCAGAACTGCTGGTCTGGGTCGTGAGTAGCTAGGTCAGATGTACTTGTAAAGTAAAATGCAAAGGAAAAAAAGTCCTACCTGTTTTTACTTCACTAGATGGTTTGTTAATGGTGAAATGTGGAAGAGGAGGCATTGGATTAGAGCCCCGGCTGTAATGTTTTTCTTGTTACAGGCCTTTGCTGTCATTTGTTATCAAAGTTAAATTAATTGAATCCAGAAGCTTTGTTTTCACCAAAGTCCTTAGCTAGTGACAGTTTGTTTGGCTTGTATCCTGCAAATAAGGACTGACCTCTCTAGCTTCAGATTTGGGGATATAGGTTTGTGAGCATCTGTGATAATACATTTCTGCTGTGTGCTTCTGCAGTCTTGTGATTTATGGACACAAGTCTTTAGAAGCTGCCAACTTCTGGATCCAGTGTTACGAGATCGTAATGATAACAGCTCTCATTGAGTTTCAGTAACCTGCCCAGGTTGCCATGAAACTAGTTGGGAGACTTGGGGTTGTAGAAGCCAGATGCTTGTGGTGAAGGAAGGAATAGGGAGTCCTGTTCATCGTAGCATCCTTTTCTGCTTAGTGAGAGGTTATACAGGAGTCGTGAGCAGGCAAATCATAAGTAAAGTGAAAGTAGCAAGGAGGATGAGGATGTTGATCATGACGACAAAGTTTAGAAGAGCCCCAGGACTTCCATAGTGGTCCAGTGGTTAAGTTTCTATCTTCTTATGCAGGGGGTGCCGGTTCGATCTCTGATCAGGGAATTAAGGTCCCATGTGCCACAGTGCTGTGCTTAATCACTCAACTGTGTCTGACTCTTTGTGACCCCATGCACTGTAGCCCACCAGGCTCCTCTGTGGAAATTTTCCAGGCAAGAATACTGGAGTGGGTTGCCTTGCCCTCCTCTAGGGGATCTTCCAAACCCAGGGATCGAACCCAGGTCTTCTGCATTGCAGGCAGATTCTTCACCATCTGAGCCACCAGGGAAGCCCTGGGTGTGGCCAAAAATGTAAAATTAAATAAGACTTGTTGGAAAAAAAAAAAAGAGCCCCAGAAGATTGGGAAAGTAGTCTGAGAATTGAACCATTGAGGCAAGTCTCCTCCCTACAGATAAGTTGAGTCACTTTCCTACTGTAATGAATTGTTACACTTTAGTAATATTTCATTATGAATACATTGGGAAGAGCATTGTGTAAAGGATAAATGGTCCATTAGAAAATTTCTCATGAATAATTTTGACCTTCTAATTTCTGAGTTGACTTATTCATTTTTGCTGTCTCTGTACATATGTATTTATTACAGAAGAGTTTCATCATTGAGAAACATAAGACTATGCGGATAGTCACTCCAAATTTCCATTACTGGGAAATTAAATTACTGTTAACATTTTCCTTCCATCCATACTTGGCATACGTGTTCCTATATGTGCAGAATGCTTTGTTTTGTTTTTTACAAAAATAACAGTGTCAGCATTATAGGTCTACCCCATTGTTAGTAATTTCATAGTGGTCCACCTGTAGATAAGTCAGATGACTTGACCTCCTGTTACAGGGTTTAGAATAGTTTGTGGTCTTCTTGCTACCCTAAGTAGTGCTCTAAAGAACAGCTCTGAAATGTAATTGTTGACCTTATCCAGTTCTTTTCCTGGAGTCAGTTCCTGGGAGTGGAATAACTTTCTTTGGGCTTTTGATACAGGCTGCTCAGTCGCCCCTAGAAATTCATCAGATAAGTGCCCACTGTCTAGCCAGCAGTGGTTATTCTTTGCTGGTCCGGTAAGCATAGTGTTGCATTGTTTTAATTTGCTTTTCTTTTGTTATTTCGAAGGTGAAGTTATTGGCATTTGCTTGCCCTCTGGTACATTTTCTGTTGATACCAGGCCCCTTGCCTAGTTTTCTGTTAGGGTGTGGTCATCTTTTCCTTTACTAAGAATAATAACTCTTATGAATATATTTTTCTCAGATTTCACTTTTCTTGTGTCCTTATAAAATTGCTGAGATCCTATACAGTCCTATGATTTGTTTCTTCGTGGTTTCTGCCTTTGGTATTAGGCTTAGAACAATCTTCCTTACTCTCAAGGTTATATACTTACCTGATTTTCTTCTTTCTTTTCTACAATTTCACCCTTTTACATTCAAGTTTTTTTGACCCATTTTTGGGTGTAAGGTTTAAAATTGGGGCATGACTTACATTATTAGTCAGCTATCCCAACTAATTTGTTTCCCTACTGACTTACATTGTCACTTCATCATCAGTATTGCTGAATTTTTACACACACGTTCTCATTCATCCTTGATCCTGGTTCCAAGGTTTTTATTTGGTTCCATTGACTTGCCTTTCTGTTCTTAGTTACCATTCTCAATGTAGTTTTCCCTCTACACCTTTACAATAATGTACCCAAATATTTGAATAGGTTTGTCTTAATCACCTTTGTTCTTTCTATGTTCCATCACTATTTTACTGCTGTGAGAAATTTGCTTCAAAATTTTGCTTTTAAATGGTTTGACATCATTTACTTCTTCATGGAAGCTATCTTTTTAAGACTCCATCATAAATCCTTGGAGATTTTTGGTATTGTCTTCATGTTGTCAGAAGAAACATCAATAAATCCTGCAGTTATGTATTCAGCAAACATTTATAGAGTCTGTTTCATATGTTATCATTTATCTAGAAAGTCAGTGGATTCCTAAAAAGGTATTTGAGCATTCTGTTTCTTTATTTAAAAAGTTAAGTATTTCTGAAGGAAGACTTTCTGGAGAAAGTTTCATGCAAAAACTGGGTAATCTAGTTTCTTGTGAGTAATTCTTTGTAATCTATGATGATAGTGATGGCTCTGCCTATAAAAATACCACCAGGTAAATAGTTCCAAAATAAAGCTGGGAAATTTGTGCATTAGTCCATGAAACATAAAGACTGACTACTCTTTTGTTTCCTTCCCATGCAGCTTTCTACAAGTCCTAATTAAAATCAGAAATAGACACAATGATGTGGTTCCTACAATGGCCCAAGGAGTGATCGAGTACAAGGAGAAGTTTGGGTTTGATCCATTCATTAGCAGTAACATCCAGTATTTTCTGGACCGATTTTATACCAACCGCATCTCTTTCCGCATGCTTATTAACCAGCACAGTAAGTTGGGTTTTCTTGGTCCAGTTTTGAAAAGATAACCAGAGTGATTTCGCCCAGATGTCTTCCTATTGCTTCACTTTCAATTTACTGATCTGCATTTTTGTCTAGAAATTTAACTTCTAGGTCAGTTTTTCCTAAGTGAGTCCTGTCTATGAAAAAGCTAATCTTTAGAACTCTCAGTTAAAGGAAATCCTTGAAAGGCTTTTTGGATACTCATATTAGAGACAGAACCACTGCCTGCCTTTTAAGCCTCTGCTGTTATGTTACTGGTGGGGCATAGTATCTGGCAGGCACCTGGCAGCATGGTATTCATCTCTGAATACTTCCAGAGTCTCTAGAGTCAGTTCTAAACTTTATCCAGGGTGGCACATGGTTTCCTTTTTTGGTTTTAAAAACAGTGATACTGAGAATATACTGGGAATATTGAATCGGCATGTTGGCAATATGAGCAATTGATCTTACTTTTCACAGTGATCAGTGAAATCAGATTATATGGAATTGTCAAACCCTAATCTTGTATTGAGAGTTTTAATCTCTTCTCTAGGCTGATAAGCAGATAAGAAAAGAATAACTAAAATTCTCTCCACAAAAACTTTTAAACTCATTTTCAGTGTGTCTCTGTGTCCAATTTTGTAACTTTTATGAAAAAGCATCCAGGTATCTAGAGTCTAATTCATCCTCTTTGTTGAGTCAGAAAATGGACAGAGCATCTTTATGTTAGTAATATTACTTTATTTGGATAGCAAATGTTATGCATCTGTTAAATGTGGGTTTGTTCTAAATGTATGTCTGTTGAAAATGTAAATGTCTGGCAATTTACAGGAAATTTAAAAGAAAAGCAAAGAACCCCAATACTATTGAATTAAACTACTTAGATAATTACAGTTTCTTTCTGACCTGAATATGTGTGTCCACATATATACGTACATGGTTTTCGATCATTAAGTTTGTGCATCTCTTGTTTTTCTTCCACTTAATCAGTTGGCACTTTACATATTGGCCTAATGCCCATATTTGTCCTCTTTCATAATTAAAACCTTCACCTATTTCATTTAAGCATTTTCCTCTTGTGGAGTCTAAGTTATTTCCCATTTCTTATTTGACTTAAAAATAGGCACATATATTAAACATTTGTATTCAGATTGCTTTTTTCTTTGGAGGGGTCTCCTTTTGGCTTTTTAAAAAAATTTAATTGGAGGATAATTGGTTTACAATGTTGTGTTGGTTTCTGCCATGCCACAACATGAATCAGCCAAAATTACACATATTTTATAATTATAACGTACACAATTTATATAAATTGTATGAACTATAAATTTATTGTATAAATTGTCCTCCCTCTTAAACCTCCCTCCCACCCCATCCCACCCTTCTAGGTTGTCGCAGAGCACCAGATTGAGCTCCCTGTGTTATATAGCAGCTCCCCACTAGCTGTCTGTTTTACACTTGGTTGTGTGTAATGGACTTCCCTGGTGGCTCAGACAGTAAAGCATCTGCTTACAATGCAGGAGACCCGGGTTCAATCCCTGGGTCGGGAAGATCTCCTGGAGAAGGAAATGGCAACCCGCTCCAGTATTCTTGCCTAGAAAATCCCATGGACGGAGAAGCCTGGTAGGCTACGGTCCATTGGGGTCGCAAAGAGTCCGAAATGACTGAGCACTTCACTGTGTGTATATGTCAGTGCTACTGTCTTTAATTGTCCCACCTTCTCCTTCCATGCTGTGTTCATAAGTCTGTTCTCTCATCTCCATCTCTATTCCTGACCTTCAGATAGGTTCATCAGTACCATTTTTCTAGAATCCGTATATATGCATTAATATCAGATACTTGTTTTTTCTCCTTCTGACTTATTTCACTGTATATAAGAGACTCTAGGCTCATCCACCTTACTAGAACTGACTCCAATTCATTCCTTGTTATGACTGAGTAATATTCCATTGTATATCTGTACCACAACTTGGGCTTTTTTTCAGAAGTAAAATTTTGCAAACCTTGTATATTATGAGAGTAGTTGAGTGTTCTCTTAAAAACGCTTGCACAAATAGTGTAGTACGGTGAAAGTAATCTGCGATTGAGGCATTTGAGTGTTCATGGTAAAAGACCCTTTGTAAGCCTAGCCTAATGCTGCAGATTATTTTGTAAATATTTAGTGAATGTTGGAATAACTGTCTAGGATAGTGCTGAGAAGGTGGGTTAACTGGACTCAGGATGGAAGGAAGCTGTTTTTCAACCAGATCACATTGGATCGGGGAGAGCAGGTTGGATAGATGCTTCATGTTGCTGCTTGAGGACCTGCTAACTGCACGTGAGAGTCTCACGGCATGGCAGGTCCTCCATTGCACGATAACTGATGACCGACCAGTTGAATGGATTCTGTTGCTCTAAGTCACTGTGGATGCTAAAACAGCTTTCACAATGAGAGGATCTTTTCAAAACTTAAAAGCCCGAAATTCCTCTGCCTGACCATCCTAGCCGGGTTTGTTTTTAATCCTCTCCCTTTTCTCTTGGGTGTGTTTAGCACTTCTGTTTGGCGGTGACACCAATCCTGCGCATCCGAAACACATCGGAAGTATTGATCCCACCTGCAACGTTGCTGATGTTGTGAAAGGTAAGGAGGCCAGTGTCATGTTAGGGGTGTCGTTTCGTTGGGATGCATTAGGGATGCGGTTTCGTTGAGGCAGCTTAGCTGTAGGGTTATGGCATTTAACTGTTTGCTGGTTCATTAGACCACTATGGGCCCAAGCCACATGATCCAAATATGATCTGTTCTTTCTTGGCAGCTCAGGCAATGATGCATAGTTTGTAATGCTCAAAATGGGAATTTCTACTTCACGGACCAGGGTTTTTCTTATAGTTCTAGCTAAATGGTAAATATTTATGAGTTTAAGTAAGAGTCTAAGTTTTGATTGCCACCACTGTCTGAAATTTGAGAATATAAACCCTTGTTATAAAATTCAGCTGAATTCACACATTGGTTAAAAGGCGGACATCTTACTGACATGCCCTCCAGGTTGTAGGTTCTATGAGGCATTTGCGCTCACAGGTTCACTGGACATTGAGCTGGGCTCTGTTCCATTAGCCTCAGGGTATAACAGAGCCCATTAAAACAGCATTTTCCTCAATTTTCACTTAAGGTAAAGGCTAGCTCCAGAAAGCCTTCCTGGTTGTAAATGATTGAACGGATTCCTGGCCCTCTCCAGTTGTTTTCGGTGTTATGGTTACCCTATGCAACCTCACATTCTGAGACTGTCCCCTTTCCTGGATCGTGTCTCCTGCGGCCTTCCTCTAAACCTACATCTTACCCTGTCATGACCATCGGTCTCCCAGATAGTCATTAGGATCTCTGTTGCTCTTCTTTTGTCTGGATTGTGTAGCTAGGTGAGAATAGGTAGAAGAGGGCTTGGTCTCTGGCAAAGCTCTGAAGCCCGCCTCAAGTGGAGTGACCTTTGCCAACAAAGCTTAGAGGGCCAAGGGAGGGGACCCAGTGTGGGCAGCCTCCCTGGTGGGGGAACAGACCAGATCTTCAGCTGCTGAAGCTAAGGAAAACCTGTCTTACTAATATTTGGTTACCCTGGGTATCCCCCTGGTGGCCTTAGCTCAGCCAAGGCTTGTCAGGCTGCCTTGGCCTCTGTTTAGTTAGAAAACATGTACTCGCATTACTCCAGTTATAAGTGAATAGGCTTGGCTTCAGCTCCCGAGGATACCTGTAGGTTTCTCTCTTACAAGATAACCCTCTGCAGGCCCCTGGCAGCGGAGGGAAGCAGGATCCGTCTGACCAGGGCTTGTATGTTCACCTGGCCCTGGCCCAGTAGCTTTTATGATCCAGAAAACCTGGTTCACATAGTCGACTGCCATATGTGTCTTATGGACAAGACACATCTCCATAAAGCAAAAGGGCATTATAATATTGATACATTGCATAGATGCCTTTTCTCTTGAACTGCCAGCAGTTTGAAGTCAGGGTTTTTGTCTTATACTTACGTTGCAACTCACCTAGAACTTAGTCTATGCCTGTATACATGGTCAATAAATATTCCTTGGCTTCAGAGATGTCCAACCTCTGGTAATTTACTTTAAAAAAAAAAAAAAACTTTATTGCAGTACAATTCACATACCATCCAATTCACTCATTTAAAGTGTACAATTCAGGGATTTCTAGTATGTTCACAGTTGTGCAGCTGTCACCATAATTCAATTTTAGAAGTGTTACATCATCCCACAAAGAAAACCCCATGCCCATTTGAAATCACTCCCTACTACCCCTCTCCCCAGCCCTAGGCAACCAACTAGTTTACTTTCTGTCTCTACAGATATTCCTATTCTGGACATGCCATATAAATGAAGTGATACAGTGTGTGGTCTTTTGTGATTGGTTTCTTTCACTTAGCATAATGTTTTCAAGTGTCATCCATGTTATAACATAAATTGGTACTTCATTTCTTTTTATGGTCGAATACTATTCTATTGTGTGAATAGACTGCATTTTGTTTTATCTGTTCATCAGCTGATAGACACTTAGTGAACTAGGTGACCTTGGATATGTTATATAATGTCTTTGAGCCTCAGTTTCTTCATCAATAAAATGGTGCTCTTGGCAATTCACCTGTGTCCTAGGGTTAAATGAGTTAACATAAGTAGAGCTCCTGAAGCGGGGCAAGCATGCAACAAGGGCTGGAGGTAGACAAGTTTGTGAGCGTCCTGGGTCAATCCCACGAGTCATGCACCCCTTCTCACTTATACCATTGGTTGCATAATAAGTTGGTGCCTTTGCATTTGTTTCTGGCATAAATTGTTGTTGTTCAGTCACTAAGTATTGTTTGACTCTTTGCGACCCCATGGACTGCCGCACGCCAGGCTTCCCTGTCCTTCACCATCTCCCGGAGTTTGCTCACACTCATGTCCATTGGGTCAGTGATGCCATCCAACCATCTCATCCTGTTGTCCCCTTCTCCTCCTGCCTTCAATCTTTCCCACCAAGTCAGCTCTTCACATCAGGTGGCCAAAATTATTGGAGCTTCAGCATCAGTCCTTCCAATGAATATTCAGGTGTAAATTATAAAATACTTAAAATCATTTAGAACATTGATAAAAGAATTGAATATTTGATGACACCCACTGGAGTGGGTAGCGATTCCCTTCTCCAGGGTATCTTCCCAACCCAGGTCTCCCACATTGCAGGCAGATTCTTTACCAGCTGAGCCATTAGGGAAGCCCAGATGTTCAAGAAAAATTGTTAATTTTTCAGGTGTGATATTGGCATTGTGGTTATGTTTGTTTTAAAGGCATCCTTAGCTTCAAGAGAGGTTCTTTGAAATACCAGACTTGATACAAAATGCCATGTGGGATTGACTCCAGAGAGTGGGCAGTGAAAAAGACTGGGCTGTGTTGGGAAGCATCAAGTCTTGTGATGAGCACACAGGGATTCTTGACACTGCTCTGTGCTTATGTCTTCGTTTGCAGTTCTTCATGATAAAGCTGTAAAAATATACTCCTTTTTTTATCATCTCTGTTTCTCCACAAAAAGTCTCTCACTCATTTTTAGAGAGGTCCTAGCCATGAGTCAGTGTAAGTAGAGAACTAATGGGCATTCTCAGCAGTCGTTAGCACTGCTGTCTGGTGAGTCAGAGGAGGAGGCTGGACGCTGGCAGAGAGCAAGAACCGGTGTTTGCAGCCCTTACTGTCTGTGTGGCTCTTATTGTATTTACTGTATCCTGCCTGGGCTTGGCATCATTTGTATCAATGCTCCTATTGGTCTCTTGAAAGTGAAAGTTGCTCACTTGTGTCCGACCCTCTGCAACCCCATGGCCTATATGGTCCATGGAATTCTCCAGGTCAGAATACTGGAGTGGGTAGCCTTTCCCTTCTTCAGGGGATCTTCCCAAACCCAGGTCTCCTGCATTGCAGGTAGATTTTTTACCAGCTGAGCCACCAGGGAAGCTCTAACCGGGGTGTACATTCCTAAAAGGCTGGAATTACTCTCATCCATGCTTGCATCGCTTTTCTCAGGGACAGAAGTTTTGTACCAAACACTAGCCGAGGATTATGTGCAAGACAGTTGGATCAATATTTGAAAGAAAAAACCTAGAAGTTTTTGTGTCTCCTGCTTTCTTGGGCCTTTTCAGTTGAGGCTTTGACCCTGGGCCACTTGGCCCCCTCCCTCATTCTGGGCTCACTCACAGCTTTATCTTCACTCCTTCTCCTGCCCTTTTCGACTCTGTACGCAGCAAACCCGCCTGTTAGGGTGAACACAGTTTATTCCATCTGTCCTCTCATGGAATCATTCCTACTGCTTGTCTGGAACAACTGAAAGGCAAAGCTCACCCCCATGCCCCTCTGCCGCCTCCCCCAGTGCACCGCTACCCCTCACACTTATGAGGAGTGGGGCAAAGACTGCCCTGCTCCTATTCCCCACCACTTCTTTCAAACCGTTTTTCATTTCTTAATAACCTCTTTCCTTAAGGAAGACAACAGTGGGGGCTGGTTTCAGATTCTGAAAGTGCATGAACCTTTGAAGCAACTTCCACACCATCAGCTCTTCTGCCACCTTCATAAATCATAGATCGCACCACAGCACACTGAAGACGCTTGGCTTGGACATACTTTCTAGAACGCAGTGGTGCTTCTTCCGCTTGGTGAGGCCTGTGTTAAGTGAGGGTCACTTGTCTTCAAACTGTTGGTGTAAGTTATACCACATGAATATGTATGAACACACATAATTTATTTATACGTTATGTAAACTGAAGAAATGTGAGTACAGAAAAGAAACTGATTTCCATAAAAATCAGGTTGAATGCTTTGGGAAGGCTTGATAAAAAGAGTTTCTTAAAAATGTAATGAAATAACTGTGAACAAGGTAACTTGTTACTTTGACCTTGACAGGGCAGCGGTGAGTAAAAATCTGAGAAAGAATATGCACTCAGATTGCTTGACAAGTATTTTTAGTGCACTTTAAAGAAATAGAAATTGGAATTCATAAAGAAATCGGAATTTGTAAAGAAATAGAAATTGGAATTTATAAAGAAATAGAAATTGTAATTCATAGCTGTATGCGGTATTGTTTATCTATGAAATATGACCTGGAACCCCTATTCAAAGGAGGGGCTTCGGCCTTACGTGAAAAGATTAGTAGAGGAATAAACTGTATTCATATGTGTATTTTAGGTTAATATTTACAGTTATAGTCATATTTTATGGTTTCCTACTATCCAACTTTTTTGTCAATCATCCAACTCCTGTGCCCAGTTTGGTCAGTTAAGAGGACTAATACCATATTGTTGTTGTTGAGTCACTTAAGTCATGTCTGACTCTTTGCAACCCTATGGACTGCAGCACACCAGCCTCCTCTGTCCTTTATTATCTCCTGGAGTTTGTTCAGATTTATATCCATTAAGTTGGTGATGCTATCTAACCATAACAAGTGCTCACTGAAGAAAACTGAGAAAATGTGGGAAAAGATGGAAGAGAATAAACATCACCTGTCTTCGTAACCCAGTGAGAGCATTGTTTCCTACATTTGAATTCATACCCACTTTACAGACTGATGTGCAGCTGGGAGTAGCGTGCATCTCTCTGTGAAACCTGTAGTACGTGAGTATTTCCCCGTCTCCA